AAAAGTTAAATACATTCTCCACATTCCAAAGCATCTCTATAAACATTTCTTCTACCCTTTTAATATCTATAACACCTACTATATAAAAAACGTATTGCTTATTCAACTAATTCCTATACCTCAACCTCCTATATGTACAGAATTCCAAGGTGTGCCTTTACCTGCCTTTTAAAATAATTTTTTCGTGTTACCCTAATTAATGACAATGGTAAAAGATTCCATGATTTCATTGCCCTTAATGTTATTGTACGTTTAAGAAAATTAGTTTTAGAATTAGGGAGTAGAAATCTACCCTCCGTTGCTCATCTAGTAGCATATTCATGTGACTGAACATTAGATTGTAATTGATTATACTGATCCAATCGAGTTTTAAAATTTAAAATCTTCCATGTTGATAACAATATTGCAGCAATCATCCTATCTTAGCCACTTAACATCAAAAGGCATACTATTAATATTCGTACCATACGGACACTGGAGTATTAACCTCGCTGCCTTATTTTGTACCAACTGGAGTTTCCTCAAATCCTTTTTTGTAGCATTGGCCCATATAATCTGACTATAGTCCAGCTGTGTGAAGAAGAGAGTGTCCAATATTATTTTCATTATATCAACGTAAAATATTGTCTACATCTCTTTACTACAGCTACCACCCTTCCCATTCTCTTCACTGTGTTCTCAATATGCTTTGACCATGACAATTTATTATCCAGAGGGATACCCAATAATTTTGCTTCCTTAACTTGCTGAATAAGTGTTTTATTTATATATAATTTCTAATTCTAAATTCTAAATATTTATATATAAATCATCTAATTTGTTTTAGATGTATTTAGTATCAACTTGTTTTCTAAAATCCACTTTTCTATACTCTCCAACTCCTCATTCAAAATGATCTATTATCTGTTCTTATTCTAGATGAATTGGCCCAGACATATTCGATTGTATATGAGACGCATTCGTGCAAGTGGAGAAATGGCTAAGTATAGCCTAGAATTTATTTGCCAGTGCCTGTGCTCCAAAATGTGATTCATAACATGTAGCTGATCAGAGGACATTAATTTTAGAGCACGCAAAAGTGAAAGAAATAAGTTATATATATATGTAAATATATATATATATATATATATATATTTATCTGATGACACTCAACTCTACCTCTCATTCCATACTGATGATCCGAAGATAGCTGCTCGCATCTCAGCATGTCTAACAGACATTTCTTGTTGGATGACGGACCATCACCTTCAACTCAACCTGGCTAAGACAGATGCTTGTGGTTTCAACAAACCCATCACTATCAAAATTTCACCATCCAGTTAGGCACCATCAACCATAACTCCTTCAAAAACAGCTAGAAACATTGGAGTTGTATAATGTGAATCAGTCAGTCAAACTAGGACTCTGGCTTTCCTTACTGGTCATAAGTGTGACCCTTAACATGTTTACATGTATTGTTAACACGTTTTATATGAAAAGGTCATCTTAAAGGGATAGTGAAAAGTGAAAATTGTATCATTATTTACTCGCCCTCATGTTGTTCCAAATCTGTATGAATTTCTGAATTTCTTCTGTTGAACATGTAGTTCTTTAAAAAAAAAAGTTATTTTGAAGAATGTAACCAAACCATTGACTTACTCATTTTTGGGGGAACTATCCCTTTAATGATACAGTAATAATAATAATAATAATAATAATAGATCATTTAAATATAATATATATATATTTAAATATGTTTCAGATAGGGTAGTTTTATCTATATGAACTGTTTTACATGCTTCCTTTCAGAGGGACAAACTGAAATGAAACAGCTCTGATCTTGTAACTATTTACATCCGTCATGCAAAAAATGTTAGAGTGAAATCAAGACAGTCTGCATTTTTATTTCTATTTGATAACTCTGTATAAAAACACATAGGCAACATGTTTTAGACCCTTTATATTCAAAAGACCCTACATGTCGGTCACAAATATTACTAGTGGGATTAAATGGGTTACTTTTGTTCTAGGTCAAACAAAGTCATACAAAGGAGTAGGTATCTTTTTTTATTCCCCAAGGTATTTTCATGTAATGAGGAATTCCCAAGCCGATTGATTCACCTTTTTAATTAAAACACATTAAGATATACGTTTTTAATATGTGTGTGACAGCATAATAAAGTATACATTCCTCCCAGATTTCCTTACTATTTCGCACATTCGCTTCAGTAAAAGGAAGTTTTGAGGTCGTCCTTAAACTTTTATCTCCGTAATCTGCTCCTTAACGTGTGTTTCGTGACACGCTGCCTCGTGCGGCACGCATCGGAGAACGAAAGACAGCCGAGCTCGCTCGCTAGTTAGTGAATCGCGTATTCGGCTCAATGTCATTCATTGAAGGAATCTGCTCGGCCGCCTTTAAGCGCTCACTGCTGTGTTGTTACATTGTAGCGGAAAGAATGTCGGAAAGGGCCGATGATGACGTCAGGGGGGAGCAGCAGCAGCGCAGAGCGGCCAGGCAGCTGAAGCAGCGGGGAGAAGCCTTCACAGCAATGGCGACTGTTGCGGAGCGCAGATCCCTGCCTAGTCCTGAAATAATGCTGGGACAGCCTTGGAGCAGCTGGGTCGATGCTGTGAAACTCTACGGGAGCGACGGTGAGTTGATCGGCCGCTATATATATATATAAAAACATAGTCTTTAACTATACCCCTAACTTTAATTATCAACCAGATAGTGTTTGTGAAAATTTGCAAAGTTTGGTAAAGAATTGCAGCAATGCAGGTTCGCTCAACTGAGTCAAATTGTTCTTTAGATAAACTACTGTGTTAAATATGTCAAATCTAGATATGCTTAATACCAGTGTGAGAAAACAATGCTCAGTGCATTAAATGATTAATCCATGGCTGTCATTAAAATGGCCTGCCAACTTGCCATGTAGATATCTCTCCATTGTTTGCCAAATGCACTATTGTCTTAACCTCTTTAATTCTCTCTTTTTTTTTTAAGTGAACACATTTGTTTTGCTCCTTGGAAAGCTCAGTGTAACAAACTGCATGCACTGAAAAAAATTGGAAGTGAAAGTACTGTATTTGTTTTATTTCTGGTAATAAATGTAACTGGCGGGAAACTACTATTTATTCTATTTATTCATCAGTTTGCTGAGTAAGATCCATCAGAAAGTGGCAAACAATTATTATGTAATATTTTATTTTACTATAGCCGCGTCAGATCGCGAGCGTTTGCCCGATTGCGCGCAGTTTTGAAATGTTAAGAAACGCGAGAACAAGCCAGCAAGTGTAACTATTTATGTAACACGATCCAAATCGCTTCCTCAGGTACTGAATTGGAAGAAAGTTTGAAAGAGTGCGGGAAAAATCGCGAAGCCATGAGACTCTGCAGAGACGGTAAGTAGTGTTGCTTTCTCTGGTCAAAGGTGTGTTTTTGTTTTGGTGCTGTGTGCACACTTTTCACGCACCGGCTCACCGTGAAACAAGTGCAGCTGACTTGACAGTACTAGCCCTGAAAACTCTGTTATTACGATAGTTACAAGCGTTAAAAACGAGCTCTTATATGCGTGTTTACATGACTGTAGAAACATTCGTTACTATACAGGTCTGGGTTGCATGTTGGAACTTGTGAGTTTGAATTGAAATGAAATGAAAGTAGTATGAGTATAATACATGCTATATACATGTAATTGTCATGTTTGAAATGTGTTAAATATGTTCAAACACTGTTATGACATTTGAACCGAAACCTACAAGCCTAATATGTTTGGATAAGTTTATTGTAGTCACACATTTTATGATACACTAATTGTTTAAATGTCAGAATTATGAAATCTGAACCATATGTAGAACTATACATTATTACATGACTCTCTGGAATACTTGTGTATAAATACAAATTCAATGTTTAATGCCCAAGTATTTGCTCGTTTTGTTAAGTATCCTTTTAATAAGTATAGGAAATAGTCTAATTTAAACACGGACAGGCCGAGATTTTCTTTAGTGTTCCTGGACACCTCAGCGACCTTTTTCATCTCATTATAATAAAAGAATTTACGCTCAAATCAGTATTTCATTTATATTTATTAAATATTTGTTAACTAGCTGTTTCATGTTAAAGTTCTGATAACCCTATTTTTATTTTGCGAGCCGACTGTATGTTAGATCTTACTTAGATTTAAATGAATACAAGTGACTCAGCTGTATCATTTATGTGTCTAATGATCAAGGTAGTTGTCAATCAGATTTTTAATCCTCCTTTTGTAAATTAAATATGTGTAACTAGCATTTTAGTAACCCCAACAAAGCAGGTGACATCTTACAGTGACCATCACGGCTGTTTTTAAATGTACTACGTTTGAATCTCTTTACTTGACAGTAGATAATTCTAAAAGATCTTAGCTTTATACTTAGTTGCCGTGAGGTTTATAAACATGTCATCGCCAGGCCTCTTTATTGCTCTTTTCTGTTAGTATAGGAAGTGTGAGATACTGTACCTGTCAGGGAATTTATCTAACAGTGCATGTGCATTTGCATTGACAAACAATAGAGCTATCATGTGCACCGCTGCTCCATTGAACAATTTAGAGTAAATTGGTTATGTCTTGAAAGACCAAAGTCGTCGCACAGGAATCTGTCAGATGTCAACCTTAGGGTTACATAAGATGAAAAACAACACCTTTTTGCCTGTATGGGCTGAAATCATTGCTGGTTTTCTGTTGAGCTGTTATCAGTGTTTTTTATTTAAATTCAGAATTAATTAAGCAGGACTATTCTCAGGTCAGAGTAAAGCCAAAGCATCGAACACATCTTTATTAAGATTTAAGTTTCAGTTTCAGCTTTGTCTACACCTAAAATATTTATGTGTGAGGATGTATTGAAAGCAGCATATGTTGTGATGTGTATGTGGACGTTATTGCTTCTATGCGTTAGCTTAAGAGCACTCTTGTGCTCTATTATGTTATTGTAAAGTCAGGAAAGGGTTGTCAACCTGGCCTGCAGGATCATTGAGGAAAAAAAAATTAAAAGAAAATATACTTAAAACATTCACGTTGTCACGGTATGCTACTGTGAGGAGCTCGGAGACGAAGGAGCGTGACGAGGAGTGGAATTCAAACATGTAGGGTTGAATCAAATCCAGGGAACAAGGAAAACACACGTAGCAAGGGTAGACATATACAATTCCGGACGAAGGAGAACAGAACGGGCTAGAACTCAAATAGGGCAGATAACGAGGGGCAAACAGGTGAGGAGGATAAAATAATGAGAGACAGGGAGAAACTAATGAACTATGATGACAGGAACAGGAAGATGACCAAAACAAAAACATAACCTGGAGCACGTTGGGGAAGAAAACCCACACAGACACGGAACAGAGTCTGACACACATCTATGTATTGTATTAATATAATATATTCATACTGATTTAAAAGAGAGTTCACTTAAAAATGAAAAAATGTCATTTATTCACTCATGCTGTTACAAACCTCTATGACTTTCTTTCTTCTGTAAACTTTTTTGAAGGATGTTGGTAACCAAACCATTTTAATGACCATTGACTGTATGGACAAAAAACATTTCTCAAAATATCTTCTATTATGTTCCACAGAAGAAGGAAAATCAGACAGGTTTGATACAACATGAGGGTGAGTAAATGATAGCAGAATGTTTTTGGGTGAACTGTCATTTTAAAGCTTGTACAGCTCTTAGTTATCAGCTGAAACTGAAACAATATAAACACAGAGAGGTACATGGGAGACTAGGGCTGTGTATCACCAGCAAAGTCACGATATGATATGTATCACCATACAGGACTGCACTGAATTTCACCTCAGCAGAATTTAGTAAAACAGCTGTTTATTAAACACTACATACTATAGTGCCATTTCAAACTATAGGCAGATCAGGCAGTTGGCCTCTGCATTATGAAGGGCCTCCATAAATGTACCACTGTACAATATAGGTAATGGCATATGTTTCATGTTTACATTGGGCACTCCCCACCAGGTACAATATTCAGATTTTTTGCATCTTGTTTTTAAGCCCATAAATAATAATGTACTCGTTCTAATAAATTTATATTGTAATGTACTCATTCTAATATATATAAAAAATTAACACGCTCTCTACGTTTAAAAAATAAAAATAAAAAATAGAACAGTTCTAAACTAATGCGCTGTCTTCACTGTATCTAACGCCCACACGCTCAGTCACTCACACTGATCACGTTGCGGCCGCACTCAGACATTCAGGAACAAACTTTTTAGAGCGGCCCGCAATTTTAAAGAGCTACATTATCTTTCTCAACAAGGAGCTGGTAACATCATTGTTTCTAAAGGAATTAAAGCTACAGCTTCACTGTTAATAGAGAAACGCGGCAAAACAGTGGTAATTCATACATACACAACCTCTCTCTCTCTCTCTGTCATAAATGAACACTTGATGAATTACACTTTTCTGAGAATAGAATATTGAAGTGGAGAACACTAAACTGCAAGCTAACCGGTGTTTTCAGAAAGCAAGCGCGTTTATCCACAGTGGAGAGAGAGCGCGTG